CAAAATGAAAGACAATGAAGGGCTTTTTAAATAAGCAGTGTAGCGAGTTTTACTGCTTTAGTAAAGCAGCATCTGCTAAACTAGTTATGCAACTGTTTGCACCTCAAGTCGACGTAGCGTTAAAGTTAAGGTAATGTTTACTCTTATGGTCTGTCATTAGCACTTCCTTTAATGTTCGTAATGAGTTATCGCTGTCTGAGATCACGGGCTCCCTCTCTAAATGAGTTTAAACAGACTCCCTGACAGCCAGGGATTAATTAACCATGATAAATATAAAGTTAATCATCTTAACTTTATATTAATCATGGTTAATACTGGGGATATTTATAACTGTAGGGAAATGACTACAACTAGTGACACCACAGCTATATAGAGCAGGTCACTTGTTTCAGCATCTTAACTTATGTCATCATGACTGGAATATCTTTGAGGTTGTTAATGAAACAAAACAATGCAGCTGAAGATGTTACCTCTCACCTTGTTACCGTCCTACACACTCTCCTGTTTCCTGCAGCTTGGTAGCTAAGCAGGAACATGTTTTCCCAGATATAACCTAATACTTCCCCGGATGCTTTTGTGTCATTGAACCCGTTTGTTTTTGGTGTTCAGCAGACCTGACCTATTAAAGCTCACTGCCAGCTGAGCTCTGCTGCCAGGCTGTGGGGCAAATAAAGCCTGTGTGATGTAGAGCTCGGCAGTTCTTACCACCATTCTCTCACAGCAGGGTCACCGCTCCTGGATGTGATCTCCAAAATAAGCTGCACTGCTCCACATTCAAACTAGAACAACCTCTGTGTGTATGTGCAAGAGTGTGTGTGTGTGTGTGTGCCTGTCTTGTCCTGCATGCAGGCCTGGTCTCTGGGGGTTTCTAGTTTTCTGTGTGTGACAGTTTCACTAATATGGGTTAAATCTGCTGTTTGACTGAAGACCTTGCCTCACAGGGAGTCCCCATATACTCACAACTAAACTGCATGTCTTCACAAATGCATCATTTTATGAATGCAAAACATTATAACATCCTGTCAGAGACGTTTGCAACTTGTAAACCTTTGTGCACAGAGTTTGCAAAGGGGGTAGAAAAGCAGTGTTTTGCTCAGGGGCACAGCAGCTGCAGAGCTCCGTGTTAAGGACACAAACAGCTTGCTGTAAGCCATCCAAGAGGACACTTTCAACGCTCACTGCTGGTGAGATAGAGCTCGGGGCATCTATCATTAACAACCACACCTGCTAACTAAGCTCCCACTTCTAGGTCTCATCCACTGCAGCACTGAGCATACTAAGGCGGCATGTGGTGTTAAAGAGTGGCCCGGTGCAGCCTGCACGCTAGGCCCGCAACATCCATCCTAACAGCAGCAGCAGGAGAAGCAGCCAGACTCACCCAGTGTCTTGACTGCGATCTGCCGCGTCAGAGGCGGCGGCAGGTTGATGCAGACCAGATCCACATCCTGATGCAGCAGCACGTCGTCGATCCTGTTGGTGTAAAAGGGCACGTTCATCTCCTTGGCCAGCTCCTCCGCCTCCTCCTGTGTCCGGCCCCACAGCGCTTTAACGGCGAAACCCTCGTTCTTCAGCAGCGGGATGATCACCCGTGCAGTGAGGCTGGTGCCGAACACGCCGACCCCAGGAAGCATAGCTCCAGGTTATTAGTTGGATTTGGTTTTGTATGGATTCGCTTGGTGTTCGCAGCTCCGGACGACAGCAGAGCTGTGAAGGGAAGCGGCGGCGGGGACCGTCAGGTTGGCCATCCACCTGCACTCACACAATCTCTGTGCGGCATTTCCTCTCTGCGAACGGACACGTACTGTCGTTATCACCCGCCGAAAAATAACCCGAGAAAGGCGGAAATCCGACCCGGGCTTCTGCGCTTGAGCGAAGAAGTCTATAAATGAACCATTCCGCTCTTTACCTCGTCCGCGTCTGACAGCTATCACCGCACTGACTGCGCCAGGCAGGCGGAGAGCGTGTCCCCTCCTCCGCGGTTTGCTTACTCCTCCCCCTGCAGGACCCTCCCTGAAGATAACGGGGGCTGGAAGAAACGTGAGCCGAGAAAGCGCTTGGTCTGACGGCAGGTTGCCGGAAACACCGCCGTCACCCTGTGC